GTGGAGGCCTTGGTAGCTGTGGTCCATTAGTCCTTTGGACTAATCTTTTCCTTGTATCCTGTTCTCTTCATTCTCCCTTGCTCCCAAAGGGCTGAGACCAGTGGAGTATCTTAGATGGCTGCTCATAGGCTTTTAATACCCCAGATGTTACTCACCAAGGTAGAATGTAGAACATTGCCTTTATAAACTGTGTTATGCCAATTGAGCTAGATGTTTCCCGAGACCATGGTTCCATGGGAACATTTCTTACTGGGACTGATGCAATACTTTCCCACCTGCCTACTATTTAGCAATCACAGTGCTACACATACACACACACACACACACAGACACACTCCAGTCCTCTTAAGAAGCCTGAAAGGTAGATATGACTACCCCATTTCACAGAAGAGGAAGTTAAGGTTCAGAGAGGTTAACAAACCTACCCAAAGCCCCTCTGGGTTCATGCCTATGTCTGCCTGACTCCAATAGCCTCTCTCTTCCTATGTGTTATTATACCATCTGAATTGAGTTTTATCTCATGGAATAATAGCTCAGAAGCAGCTGTGACGTGGGCAGGCAGGAAGCAAGAGGAAGAAAGGGAAAATGCATGATGGTCTTCTAATGGAATAATCAGTCTCTGAATTATTAAGACTTCAATAAAATTTTTTTTAATGTTTTACTTTTTTTTAAAGCCCTTATTCTATACCAGACACTAAACTAAGCTACTAATTCTCACAACTCCCCTGAAGGCCAATATTTTTTATTCCTTTTGTACAGATGAGGAGACTGAGTCTCAGCAGTGTTAAGGACTGTGCCCCAGGTCACACAGCTACTGAGGGATGTGGACCTGTTTGGCCTGACCCAATGCCTCTGCTCCTACACAAGACTGCCTCTCAGAATGTACTTTCAAATTATATTCTGATCATGCACATTTTATCTATCTCATCTCACAATGATGTCATAGGAATTTGGTCCTTGAGAAATCTCCAATAGTTTTTTTTCTTTCTTCTTCTTCTTTTTTTTTTTAAATAAATTAAGAGTTGGGCAAAAAATGCTTTGCTCTCTCATGCTTCAGAATGTCTTTTAATTGGATGCAGTTTGCCTTGAGTGAACTGGCTTACCTATGGAGTTAGAAATGAGCTAGATGCAATTTCTAGAATCAACTGTAAATCTGAAAATCCATTTAAGCAGATAGCCCATCCTGGAAAACCAGCAGCAGCTGTGTCAAAGGTAATGCTCATGTCATCCACAGCCCACTTCGACTCCAGGAGAAACTCAGGAACAGAGGTGGCAGTAGCCTGCACTGGCAAAAAATTCCTTAACCTGGCGCCTCTGCTTTTTCCCTTGTAAATCCAAGTGATTTTGCTTGGGTGAGGCCTTGGAGGAAGATGGAATGGAAACTTGATGATGGCTCATCGTGCTTGGCAACTGTCAGATGAAAAACATTATATAGGGGCAAAGGGCTCACCTGTGGATACTGCTTTATCTCGGGGTAGTTTCCTCTAAAATAACTGAAGTAACCAGTGTGGCCATTTTGAACCTGTCTTTTGGTGTCGTCCTTCTGTGCCTGTCTCCTGCACAAGAAGATGAATTCCCCAAGGGCAGAGACGCATCTTACTTTCTTTGTGTCTTGGCACTTAGCACCAAGCCTGGCAGAGAGTAATCACTGGGTGAAAATTTGCCAAACAA